TAGTCCAAACCTTAACACTTCAAAAGAAACAAAAAAATTAATCGGAACAGGTCGTGGAGGTCCAGTAGACGATTCTGGATCTTTTGTCGATGATCAAATGATTCCTGAAGCACCAAAACTGATTGTTTTCGCTACCATGTCTCACTTACAATTAACACGTATTAGTTCATTTAGTGAAACAGCTGATAGAAGTGAACGATTAAGATGTTATAATTTAAATGATACACTTTCAACATCAATGCTACTCACATCCATTCGAGATATTCCATTAGAACCACCACCACCACCGGAATATGTACCTCCTTGGAAACTTATCCGACCCAAAAAACCTATAGTATTACCGCATGCTGAACCCATTAGTAGTTATAATATTTAAAAGTAAATTTTTTGAAATATTAACATTTTTCTTTTAGCTCCACATGAATCTAAACCTAAACGTTGGATTGAAATTACTTCACCTTATATAAATTATCCAATAGGAAATGTTCTTAATATGTAAATTTATACTTTTTATCTCTTAATTTTATTTTCATATTTATCTCTCATATAGAAAACCAACAATTCGATCTCATCCAATTGATAGTAATGTCACGTAAGGAGTTTTTTATTTTCGTTCTAAGATATTATGAATATTGATTCATCTAATTATAGAACTCTCAATACATCTTCACGTTTAAATCGTTCAGCGAAACATTTAGCTATACCTGACCAATCAAATATTATTGAAGTAGATGAAGATGAAAATATTGAAAATGGAAAATTAAAACCCGAATTAAACATCGAATTCGTTCAATGTACTACAAATATAGGTTCAGCATCACCAAGAAAACAGGTGAATGTTTTTTTTTACAAATTTCAATTAGAAAAAAAAAAGATATATATAAATTCTTCTAGTCAAATGTAACTGATACTCGGGAAAAATCGGATGACTCATTTCGTAGTACAGGAAACAAGACAAAATGTGAAATGTCAATCGATAGGACTAAAGTAAATTTATGAACTATCTTTATGAATAAATCAATTCAAAATTCAAATAGATTCCTAGAAAATCTGTTGCAATTGGTACAAAGATATCATCTGATACTATATCAACGAAAAATAAAGGTTAGAACTAAGTAAAAAAAAGAGCTTGTCAGCGCAGCTCATTTGGAACTAAAATGTGGAACTCACATGTGTTCTTTAGCCTCATTATATTAATACAAAATACATAAAATGAAAAAGTTCTAGTATAAAGTTGTTTTCTAAGAATAATCAATCAGCAGGAACATGATCTGTCTTATTTATTTCTGCATACTGAACAAAAAATTTTTGCCTTGTTGCTATTCCTGCGTTGCTTTTCATTTTTCTTAAAGCTTTAGTTACGGAGTTTTGCAAAGATGACAAAACATGTGAGTTTTCTCATAGAAGTCTAGAAACGGATACATATATCTAAAGAATACAGTTAATTGCGTTAGGCTTCAATCAACACTATGTAATTCAGCACTTATAGTGTTGAGTCGAATTGTCCAAAACTTTGTGCAATCCTTTGGATAGCTTCATGAATAACAATGTGGTTCCATGATTATTTAGTAGAATTGAACGTTTGATCTTTTGTAAGGGAAGAGCTTGAGCAGTAATCAAAACTTTCTGATGCAACAATGGTTGTAGGATTCTACGCAATTTTACGAATTTCTGTTTGGTTTCACAGGACTTTGAACGGTTTTAGGCATAAGGAATCTATGAATTCTCATAGACCTCTCAATCCATAGTTTCTTCTTTTCCATTTGATATAAAGAAAGTGAGAAGATTGTAAAAGTTATAATCTGCATAAAAGCTCAGCCCATATATATATATAGGTCCCATCATCAAAAGGTTTAGCTAGAGATTATTATTATTCTAATCATCAATTTGGTTGTCAAATAAGCTTGCTGTACGTATCTATTATATCTACAGCAGGTCTCAACGCATTATTATTTATCTTGAGAAACTCAGAAACACTGAGGTTGATTACGTCTCAGAGTTAGAACTAGATAGAACTCACGGTTTTCATGTTGATCATATAACTACTGTGGATAAATCAATGCATCATTATTTTTCATGGTTGACGTCTTGAATATAAATTTTTATCTGCGCAAAAATAAAAACCTATACTGTTTAGAAAACTCACCAACGTATTCCAGTCATTGAAAGTTTTCGGAATGTTTTAGAATAATCTAAGTCTTGTTGCTAATGCCGTTCAACGTCTTTTTTCGTTGTTAAGGAACTCTGAAAAAGGAGCCTGATGCCCTCGGTTGTTAGGAAAACGTACTCAATATTCGTTGGTCTTCTTCTCTTCTCCATTGCTATAGAGGAAGCTGCGAAACTTTGATTTTAATTTTTTCTTCTAAAGACA